TAGTAAGAAATCTCTGAAAGCTAGAGTCATATTTTTCTAAAATGTTTTCACATGACTTAGTCTCAGATTCAGATTCTTGTTGAGTCATTTTTGATTTTTAGATTAATTTCTTTTTGCTCAACAAGTTCTGTCTTCAGAAGATCAATCTCAGATTCAAGATTGCTTTTCAGCTTCTTGTATTTGAGTTTGATATTGTTATAACTTTTAAGAACTTTTGTTAAAACTTTTATAAGTTCTTCTTTGGTAAGTTTAGCCATTACCTCTTCTGCGTCATCATCAGATTCAGAATCTGATTCATATCCTGAGGTACCTTCCTCTTGATCCTCTGTGCTGGCCATCAGTGCAACATTGGCACATTCTTCTTCTGATTCAGAAGATGATTCAGATTCATCTGAGTCATCCCATGTTGCCATCAGAACCTTCTTCTTTTTGTTAAACTTCTTCTTGGGTTTTTCTTTCTGAAGTTTGGGGCAATCATTCTTGTAGTGCCCAGGTTCTTTGCACTCATAGCACATAACTTCTTTCTTGGCAGATCTTCTGTGTCCAGAAGATTCCTTTCTATTATCAGATCTTCTGAAGTTGTTGAACTTCTTTCCCTTGTGCTTCCAGAGTCTGTTGATCCTTCTGGACAACATGGATAACTCATCTTCTTCTTCAGAGCTTTCTTGAATGACCTGCAAAGCTTTAGCAGTTTTGTTAGATTTTAATGCAACAAATTTACCTTTTTCTTTCTTCTGAGGTTCATCTTCCTCAAGCTCAATCTCATGGCTCCTCAGTGAGCTGATGAGTTCTTCTAGAGAGATCTTGTTCAGATCTTTAGCCATCTTCAAGGTAGTCACCATTGGTCTCCATCTGGTAGGCAGACTTCTGATGATTTTCTTTACGTGATCAGATGTAGAGTATCCCTTGTCCAAAACTTTCAGCCCAACAGTGAGTATCTGGAATCTGGAGAACATGGCTTCAACAGATTCAGAGTCTTCCATTTTGAAGGCCTCATACTTCTGGATCAGAGCCAGAGCTTTTGTCTCCTTAACTTGAGAATTTCCCTCATGAGTCATTTTTAGGGATTCAAACATATCAAAAGCAGTTCCCCTGTTTGTAATTTTTTCATACTCAGTATGTGAAATAGCATTCAATAATATAGTCCTGGCTTTGTGATGATTTCTAAAATCTTTCTTCTGAGCATCTGTCATAGATTTTCTGTCAATCTTCTTGCCATTCCCATCTGTGGGATGGACATATCCATCTATGACTAGATCCCATAGATCAGCATCATATCCTAGGAAAAAACTCTCAATTCTGTCTTTCCAGTAGTCAAAATTTTCCCCATCAAACATTGGGGGTTTGGTGCTGATCCTATCCCTTTCTTCATATTTATTGTTAATATTGGACATTGAATTATCAGCCATTGTAACAAATAAATATATATCAAAGTATTTCTCTCTGGATCTTTACTGACACTGTTAAGTGGTAGCACACACAAAACCGGAGCTCTGATGCCAACTGAAGGTGAGATAATACTTAGAAGGGGGGGTTGAATAAGTATGAAAGATTAAGACTTTAAAAATAATGACACAATAATTTTTATCCTGGTTCGTTTAAAACAACTACTCCAGTCCACCCTTCCTAGAGTGATTTGCCTTTCTCAACAAGGACTTAATCCACTATTTAATCAAACTGATTACAATAGTAACACCTAAGAACAACTGTTCTTAGTCTTCTCAAGAGCTACTGATTCCAACTGAATCCTCTTAAGGAAAAACCTTTACAATCAATGTAAATCAAATACAAGAGTATTAATGCTTCTATAAAGCTTTTATCACAACAGTGATTTTTCTCTTAAGTTTAAGTACAAGAAATTCTAAGAAGAATATGAAAGAATGAGAGTTTTGAATATTATAATTTCTTTTCAGCAAATTGTATCACTGAAGAATGTGGTGGAGTCCTCCTTTTATAGGCAGCTGATCCAAGGAGGCTGAGCGTTGAAAAGAGAGTCCCAAAAAGGTCTGAGCCTTTTGTCTTCACATCAAGTGACCTTTCCTAGAAGTAGAAAGCACAGAACAATCCTTTTTGTCTGTGTTATTGTGTCTAGAACAAATGAGGAAAGAGACGTTGATTAACTCCAACGGATATAATCTTTGAATATTTCTTCTTCAGTTTTCAGCAAGTTCTTCAGAATCTGAATGAGTCAGAGTCTTCTAATGAAGTTCAGAACTTTGCTGTATCAGAGTCTTCTGCAGCATGTGTGCTTTCAGCGTGTTGATCATCAGAGCATATTTGACACAGAACTTCAGTACTTGGCAGCGTTAGTACTTTCAGAAACTTCTGTAGAATTATGCTTTGAGAAACTCTTCATACAATATTCTTCTTTGCTTCAGATGCTTCAGCTTCAGATGCTTCTGACTATCTTCAGATGCTTCAGCTTCAGATGCTTCTGACTAGCTTCAGAATGTTCTGGAGACTACGCTCAGGATCTTCTGTAAACAGCCATCAGAATCTTCTAATGAGTGCATCTGGCGCTTCAGAGTCAGGATAACTTCTTGTATACAATTCAGATTTGCTTCTAGAGAGTTAATTTCATTTCAATCTGCAGTAAAACTCTCAAACAAATTTTGGAGTATATAATTTTTAAATATAAAATTTTCTAACAGTTATCATCAAAACAAAGAGTTATTATTAAGAACCAATATGTGTTCTAACAAAAGGATGTTATTTGATGTGAATTTTCTGATTGGTTTTCTATCAATTTTGCTGCAGATTTGTTAGTAATGTATGGTTGATTTGTTTGACATCTATTTAAGATCAAATCAAAATTAAATGGAGATTTAAATTTGAATTTGAATGTAATAAATCATATAGAGTTTTATGGAGCAATCGATTCCAACAAGATTCTCTATTATTCTGGATGAATTTAAATCAGAGATCCATAAGGAAAAAGCCCTAAAGACATTGTTATATAAGGAGACTCAATTCTCATGTATTAGTTAAGAATTTTGTAAACAAAATTTTTTTTGTGTATAGGGTTTGTGAGTCTTTCCTTTCTTGTATTTCACGCTAATGCCTTCATAAGGATTAATGTTAAATCTATTGTTGTATACCACTCTATATTTCAGTAACTTGACATAGTTGTTAGTTTGTCTTAGTTGAGTTATAAATTTAACAATCAATAGACTTGTTACTGAGTTTGATCACTAAAGGTTAGTGAATGAAGAAGGTGAGTGGGTTAACATATTTAAGGGGGGGGGGGACCTAAATAGAAAAACACCTGGATTAGGGAGAGACATAAAACTTCATAGGCGTCTAAGGTTCTTATAAGACTAATTGTTCTAATTCGAAGTAGTGGATTTCCTTTCTTGCGTAGAGTGCTCCCTAGACGTAGGTGTGGTTTCAACAAACCGTGTTATCAATCTCTTGTGTTATTTTACAGCTTTTTGCATTATTTGTTATTGTTGTATCATTATCGTCAATCTGTTTTTAAACTTGTTCTAAAAGTTGGAGAAGTTGTCTCAACATCTCGTCCAACATCTGTCCCCTAATGAATAAAATTTTAGATGTTAGTACGACTCCTTATCAATATTTAAAGAAATTATTGGATTAACATGATCAATGGAATGCAGATCATTTAAAACATATATTTCCTTAAAATTTGGTGACTAAAATTCTAGTTATTCTCCTTCCGGATGGTAATAGTGGATGTGATATTTGTTGTTGGCCAAACGATAAAAAAGTGTGATTACTGTTTCATGAAGTTATAATTAACGTGTAATTTGGTATGCAAAATGGAGAGGATAATTGAAGGTTGATATGAAAGCTTAAAGTTCTTGAACAAATGAAGTCCTTTATTTGGTTGGTGTGTCATGGTAGGATAATGACTAATGAGAGAAAAAACAAAATACAACTAGGAGGGCATTTTTTTAGTCATTGCGGAACAAAAGTAGAATCCATTATACATGTATTACGTGACTGTCCTTTGACTTTTGCTATTTAGACTAATGTGTTTAAGTTGGATATGAGAGATTCTTTTTCACTAGAATATTAAGGAGAATATTAAGGAGCGGGTGCATACTAATTTGCGTTTGAATTTTTGTATTATTGGTGATTTGTCATGGTCGGAACTTTGGTCGACCTATTGCCATGCACTTTGGACGTGGAGGAAAAATGAACAACATGATGAGAATTTTGTGAGACCTGAAATTCTGTGGTGGCATGTTATTAGAGTCGCTCACGAGTGTTTTTTTGGGAGCAGAGCTATAGGATAGTAAGATGGATTTAGTTCGAGAAGCTAAGCAGATAAGGTGGTTTCCTCCTTCGGGTTGAGTGAGATTGAACACAAATGAATTTAGGAAGAATGAATTGTTATCTGAATATAATGATGTTTTTAAAGATTATATGAGTGAGTGACTTGGAGGCTTCGCAAGATACTTTGATTCTTCTAGTGCATATATTGCTGAACTTTGAAGTGTGTTATAAGGATTAAGATTAAAAAAAAAAGATTGATTTTCGAGTTATTGAACTTCATATAATTGTTATATAATCTTTTCACTTTAGTCTTCTGCTCTTTTTCTTTAAAAATAAATAAATTAGTGATCTTTAATGGTTCATTCAAGTGCTCATGGGTAACTAATTGAGATGTCTAATGTTACAAATTCAGATGTATAAAAAAACATTACATGTAAAAAAAAAAACAAATAATCGTATCATTGGAAAAATTGACTTTAATAAAATCATGTATATTGTGGTTCAAATGATTCTTGATTCAATATATGATGATATATCACATTCTCTCGAGTTCATAACCCCACAGCGCAGCTATTATTGTAGCAAAATTGGGTGTACTTACGATAATCAATACATCAAAAGTAACAATTTCATCTTTAGCATAGAAAAACCCCGAATCCAATTACATTATCATTTTGAAAGAAACACACTGGAAACGATCTCGGTGCTGATTCTCACGTGACTGTAAAACATTCACATTTCGCATTTGAATTTCCCAGAAGATGAGTCAAACTGGAGGATCTTCATCTTCTCATTCAGTGGCGTTTAGGGTTATGCGACTTTGCCGTCCATCCTTCAATGTCGATCCTCCCCTTCGTATCGATCCCGACGACCTCTTCGTCGGTGAAGATCACTTCGACGTTCCCTCCGCCCCTTCCGCCGCAGACCTCATCGCCCCCGATTCCGATCCTAGTTATCGCGACCGCTTCCTCCTTCATCACTTCTCCGATTCCATGGGTCTCTCTGGCCTCCTCGTTCTCCCTCAGTCCTTCGGGTCCCCCTACTCTCTCTCAATTTTCAATTACTTTTTTTTTTGTTTTATTTTTGTAATTGTTATTTAGATTCCAATTTGATTGATGCAGAGCAATTTACTTGGGAGAAACTTTCTGTAGCTATATAAGTATAAACAATAGCTCCAATATTGAAGTCAGAGAAGTTATTATCAAGGTCAGTTTCTTCTAACTAACCTTCATACTGTTCAATTACCTTGTTTTTTTACTTGCGTTGTACTCATTGGTTTCTTTTTGTTTTAATGCATCTATGTTGGTTAATTAGATAAGTAGATGTAGATTCCCTTAAGCCCTGTTTGGACAAATGTCCCAATTAATCAATCCAAACAAACTTTGATATTGTCTTTAATCAACTTAAGTCTGAGAAAATGCATATGCGTTTTATTCGTAATAGTGAGAGTACCGAATTTGTTTGTTTTATTCGTTTGAAATTTTAGTCCAATTCGATATTTAAACTGTTACTGCCAGGCTGTTTAGTTCAATTCTATACTTAAAACTGTTACTGCCAGGCTGAAATACAAACAGAGAGACAGAGGATACTTTTGTTAGATACGTCGAAAGCACCAGTTGAGACTATACGTGCTGGTGGGCGTTATGATTTTATTGTTGAACATGATGTCAAAGAGCTTGGACCTCACACGTAAGTTTTAAGTTTAACCCTCAACAATGTCTTTCTGTTGTGGTATGCTATGCTTCTTTCACATTAATTTGATGGACTGTATATCTTTCCTTCAGGCTGGTTTGCACTGCATTGTACAATGATGGTGATGGAGAGCGTAAATACCTTCCCCAATTTTTCAAGTTCATTGTTGCTAATCCACTTTCTGTCAGGACAAAGGTATTAATCTTTTTGTTTTGTTTTGTTAATCATATTGAGTGAATTTTAATAAACTATTATATAGTAACTGAGTTATTGAGTACTTTTTGTCCTTGCTGTTACACCCTAGTGGTTTGAGTGTAGGACATTTTATGCGAAATTCAGGGTTCAAAGCCGGGTCACCACATTCCCCCTTCCCGCAAGTGTTTCTTTGAGTATCTATGTATTGGCCACTAGACCAGTAGTAAAAAAATGTTTTCAAACTTTTTTTTATGCATTTATGTGACTCACCCATATTCTGAAATCTCTTTTGCAGGTCCGCGTTATCAAGGTATGTTGATGATTAAATATTCTACATAATTGTAAGTTTTTATTATTTTCCTAGACTAGAGTTGTTGTGAATAGCATAGTGTAGTCGTATACAATGATTCAGTATATTTTTGTTGGTGTTAGCAGTTTTCAGATTACGCATTTTAATTGATTGGGTTCGGTATTATTTACAACTGTATGCTCTTGAAATGGAAACATATAGTCTAATCTATGTTTAAAACCAACAAAAAACAACTCCTCAGAAGCATTATTTATTCACCAACTTTCCTTTTATTTGTGGTGTCAAACACACTTTCATTCAATGCCATTGAGGTCAGTAACAATTAGTTCAAAGACATAGGTTTTCTTGAAAGGTAAGATAATCAATAGTTAAATATGCATACAACAGTATATGCCTATTTTTTTTCATTTCAGTCTTATCCTCCTTTAAACTATCATTTTTTGTAGTTTAATGCATATCGTTAATTTCTTGATTGCATCCCAGGGAGCATAAACTTGAATTTAATTATATACTCTTTGTAATGAATCTGTTTAGCCAATCATAAAACCTCCTGAGCTTACAATATATGTTTTCACATCCATCTAAGAATTACAATCATGTCAGTATTTTCATTTTTCTTCCTAGTTCCATAACTTTGTGGAGAAAATGGTAAAAACAACATTTCCAATTTTTCACTATTTCCTTTTTATAAAGTTGAAAATGGGAAATAAAATGAAAATAAGAGGATACTTTGACATTATCAAAGAATACATCTATAGTAACTAAAAATGAAAATAGAAATAAACGGAACACCTCATAAGTTCTTTAACCTTTATTCCTTTACATATTAAGGCTTTTAAGGAAATCATACCTGCTTTGTAAATTGAAGTGCCCAGCCCTACATACTATTAAGTGAACCAGTTCAGTAAGTTATAAAAGAATCTAGAAAAGCTGACTACTCTAAGTACTGTGTACTAGCTGCACAGTACAACTGCCTAGCATAACTAACCTCCTAGATTTCTGGAATTTCCCCTAGATTTCAGGAACTAACTAACAGTAGTTAGTTAATGCTGTGAGTCTTCAAATAGACTACACCGTTAGTAATTCATTAAGAATTGAAATTCAAAAGAGAAAAATAAAAGTATTCAGTTGAGATCTCTGTCAACAATTATGAACTTCATAGAATTCTGAAATTCTGTGCATCAATTTTTCTCCTTGATTTGTCTCAGGAAACTACCTTTTTGGAGGCTTGTATTGAAAACCATACTAAATCTAACCTTTTCATGGACCAAGTTGATTTTGAACCTGCTCAACATATTGGTGCAACAATACTTATAGGTGATGGGCACCATTCTGAGAAAGATAGTCCTACAAAGTCAGTGCTTTATATTTCTTTTGGTGTTAAAAATTATCAAATAAACAAATACCATATTTTTATTTTTATTATTGTTGTTTGATTATATATTAGCTTAAATTCAGGGAGACATTTAAGCCCCCAGTACTTATAAGATCTGGTGGAGGAATTTACAACTATCTCTATCAATTGAAGTCATCATTGGATGATTCTGCTCAAACTAAAGTTGAGGGAAGTAACGTTCTTGGTAAACTCCAAATAACATGGCGAACAAATTTGGGTGAACCTGGTCGCCTGCAGACCCAGCAAATATTGGGGACTGTAAGTGTTTTCTCTGCTATAATGATGATCCATAGATGAACTAATTATCTGGTGTGATGTAACCTTGTTAAGTATCAGTAAACAGCGACAAAGTTGATGGTCAAGCTTATTTTGTTTCTGCACATCATTTATCTGAGTCTAGTATGATGTATTTCATTTTTCTCCTTCACTTTCAAAACAATAAAGCTGATTACATGTTTAATATTCAAATTCTGTTAGATGGACGTAGACTTAGTAATTGAAGTATAATGCTTTTAACGTGGCCATCAGTTTTTTTAATTGTGATTATTTAGTTCTCAAACACCAGTAATTTATCTTGAAATGTTCCTTTGCAGCCAACAACAAAGAAAGAGATTGACTTGCAAGTTGTAGAAGTTCCATCTATCATTAACCTTCAAAGACCATTCACGGTAATTTATGATCGGTCTACACATTATAAACCAGAAAACTGCATCTTAGGTATTTTAGGTTTTGGGCCACGAGTCATTTTTCATCCAATGTAGCACCTCTTGGTCGAGTTTATTCACCATCTTAGGGTACATGCATTGCTATTTAAAATCGTGTTCTACTATTGATCCTATAGTTTAGTGTACTAAAAGAGAAAATATAAAATGGAAGCTGAAGTTTATTGCTTGTTCTGTGCAGCTAAAACTGAATCTTACAAACCTTACAGAGAGAGGGGTCGGCCCGTTTGAAGTTAGTGTGTCCCAAAATGGTTCACCTGGGGAGACTGCTGTTATGATTAATGGTCTTCAATCAATGGTAATGCATTTTGTGTGGATCATCTCTGCCTTGAATTGTCAAAAGTATAACTTTCCCCCCAATACATGGTGTCTTTGTATCACAATTTGTGTTTGGACTGGAGTTAAATATTGTCATTATGCACGATCCTGTCATTAGAATTTTTCTTGCAGTTAACTCTAACATACGATGTTGAAATCTTTGCACAGGTTTTATCACAGGTTGAGGCTTTAGGATCCACTAATTTCAGCCTGGTATAAATTTAATGAATTCTGCTCTTATATCATATACCTGTTATAGTGGTTGTGATATAGAAATTTTGAAGTCATGTTACATAACATTTGGCTGGTTCCTAGCCAAAAAACTTCCATTTATTCTTGAGCTTTCTTTTTATAAAGTGTTTTTTCTACTAAATTGTTTTTAGCTTATCATGTCTGCAACATGATAAGCTAAAAGCAATTTTTTCCACTAAATTGCTTTTAGCTTATTATGTCTGCAACATGTTGTGGATTAGTTATTATCAACTTTTCGTTATCTTTTCACTTTTATAACTTAGGGTCTTTTGGATTCTGATGCAACAAAAAATGCATCTATAGAGGTTTAGCAACAAGGAAGGTCGTAGGGCTGAACATATATATGTAGTCTTCATTTGTTGTTGATATTGAAACACTTTTAATGATGGAATCATAACAGAAGGGCACATGAAATTCCTGAGTGGGAAATAGTGGGGAAGGGGTGCTGCAGACCACTTAAGGCCTTAAATAGTCTGCAGTAATTTCATTTCATTTTTTTAGTGCTTTGGGTGTCTATATTCGTTGTGATAGGTCTTTGGAATTTGGGTGATAATTTCTGAGATCAATAGCTATGATATTTTCTGAGATTTTAATAAAACTAGCCCTATCCAATTTCTGTTTCAATCATTATGATTTCTTGCTATTGACTAATAATGATTATCCATTTAGGCCTCATTTCCAGGAAGTAATAACTAATAAAAGAAACAGTTGTAGTTGTACAACGATTTAAAGAATTTTTTGGTTCCAAATCACAATTCAGTGCATTGCATGGGTTGCAAGCTTACATTACATCTCACTTCTCCTTAGACTGTGATAATTCAGTGTTTAATATTGTTAGCAATGTCATGCATATGCAGAATCTCATAGCTACTAAACCCGGAATTCAGAGAATAACAGGCATTACAGTGTTTGATAAAAGGGAGATGAAATCTTATGAACCACTTCCTGATTTAGAGGTTAGTTGTACACGGATGGATTGTGTTCCACGAGCAGTTTGACATTGGCATTTGATCAAATTTTCTAAAAACATTTGATGTGGTGTACTCCCTTTGCCCTTCTAAAAACATTCTGGTTTCTCGTGTTGGTTGCAGATTTTTGTGGACATGGAATAAAAGTGTGGCCACAGTAATCAGTTTTATCAGAAGCGGTTGATATCTTTTCAGAAGGTTGATCTGCCAAACTCCGCAGGCCATATCTATATCATTGATGTGCCTAATCAGATCGACGAAGTCCCTAATTTATAGCTTTGATACTTCTAGGCTCAGATTGTCTTCCAACTCAGGGTCAATGAATCCTACATGATCACAGAGCCTTAGTGGACTGTCCACAAACATCTGTAACTTAATCGGAATAGTGAATGGTTGATTACTAACTGTAAGAAGCAAAGTCCTTGCTTTTATTGAATCAAGGGGCACGGTTGTTTTGATTCTCATTAATAAGTAAAAAAACCAATCTTTTGTTACAGGATATCTCTGCAACAGCTAAATTGCCATTCAAAGATTTAAGTCATAGTTTCTCATTTTGTAATTTGTAATATAAGTCCTGTGAATTTTATCATTAAAACTATCGATTTATTATTGTATTCTAAGGAAACAATAAGGCGTAATGCTATTTGTAAACTATAACTGATAGAGAGATGGGGAAATCATGCAACACATTTTTTTATATCATTTCATAAAAAATTTGGTAATACAACTAAGTTGATTATTATGTAATCGTTAAACTCAACAATCTAAGTGCAAAACTTTCAAAAAATAAACATCACAAAATGACTTGTGTTCAACGAAAAATAAAACTTTGTAAAACTAATTTATACACTGGCATACTATTTTGTTTGATCTATATGTTTTAAACCACTATATTCCTCGCAGTTATGTTTCAAAAGTATTGTCACAATCCACCATTTAGCCTTCTATCGGTTCAATTATGTATGGTATGATCCAAGATAACTCACACAAAACCCAAATTGGAATAGAAAGTAGTAAACTTTAAGAACAACATAGTAACGAAACAAAATTGCAAAAGTGACTTCCGAATTTAAACTTGTTATTATTGTTATTATTATAATATCTACAGAGTAGAATTGATAATAAAAGAAAACCCCGAAAGAACTGATAATAAAAAGGATTGCCCTCTCTTAGAATTAAAAAGAAAAAGAAAAAGAAATGGTTTATACAAAATTTTGGATGATATGATAATTAGATGAATCAAGCTTGTGATCCCCAGGTGTCCCAATTAGCTTCACTTCCATTACGTGGCATCATTGACTTTCTTGATTGAGAGTCAACAGAGAAGTTGGCCCCACAAATAGCTCCTTCACTATCAACACGTGGCATTGACTTCAGTTTCTTCATTGGATGCTCATAACTTGTTAGACCATGCTCACCGTGAAACATGCACCCTGCAATGCAATGCAATTTTCATTATGTCCCGTTCAGACAATTGTATATTTAGTATCAGATGAGATAACTGTGATACTAAATATACAACGAAAATATAAGGTAAATAAATATATATACCAGATGGGAATGGTGCAAATGACTTAGCACAGCTTGCTTTAACAAGCTCCACACTCTCAGAAATAACTACAGAACCATCAGCTGCAATACCCCAGAAAAGCTGAACCTGTCCATTACAATCCTGCTCAAACACAACCAACATGCCAGCCATTAATACCAACAACACCATATCCTCAACAACATCCCTAAAGTGATTGAAATACGAGACTTACTGAAGCAACGAAAACCGTTTCAGCTTTGTGATCAAAGATGATAAATCCAAAACTACCATCAAGTTCTTTGATGACTTGATCAGCAGGAAATGGACCTCTGTCACGAAGTGTCCTATAAGCTTCAATGATGAAGTTGGCCTCATTTGTCCCCTTTGATAATCCATACTGCTTTATAAGCATACTTAGGTTGTTCAAGCTACCCATGAAAGCACAATATATGTTATCCAAACCACAAAACATCCTGCATATCATTTTCATGAGAAAAATATACATAAAATTTCAGATCCAATTCATTGTTACGTATACATACCCTTGATGGTTGTTTGAAGGAGAATAACCTAGAACAGCATCATTTCTAAAGTTGATGGAGAAAGCATGGGAAGGATCCAATGATATGAAATGTTGAAGGATTTCATCAGGAAGTTTAGGTTTATTGGATGAATTCAATGGAGCTGGACAATTAAGCTCTTGAGGCGGATTCACCAATTTTTGGTTGAAAATTCCTAACATCTTTGCTTCTTTAGCAAGGTACAAATTGTCTTCGAATATCAATGTGTTTGTTTTATGTCCTCCTCCAAGAAGTGTATATAATTTCTCAATGAAATGAACCAATATCAATAAAGCAATAAGCTGCAAAAAGAACATGAAATCTCAAATTAAGAATGAACAGAAATGTACCATCTAAATGTGGGAGAGGGAAAGAAAAGGATTACCAAAATGTGTGAAGATAGAGAGAATGAGATTTAATAATGTCCTTTGAAAACGGAGAGTGAGTGATGGGTAGAATGAGTCATTCATGGCTAAATAGGGAGAGAGTCAGAGAGATATATCATGCAATGCTGGCAGTTTTATCCAAACTAATTAACATGTAGTTAAAAAAAGGTAATAATATTAGATAAATAATGAATAGTGTAACTAATAAATAGTTAAGAGACTTACGGTTTGTATTATCAAGAGAGATAGGTATGAATAGTATGAGAGTGATCTGAGTCATGAGCACGTAGCAATGTTATGTTTGCACTCCTTAAACGTCGAAAACCGCGTTTATCTTTGACTATGCTGCTGTTGGTTATGCTTTTGGATCCATGTTAATTTGTCTAAGGTGGAATTTGTTTTTTGTATCTTCAAATTATAGTGATTTTTTTTTTAAAACTAAAGAAAATGGCAAAATTAAGAGAATCAAATACATTTCACTTTAATATATCATTTTAACTCAATTTATATTATCTTTAAATATTGATCTAGAATTAAAGTTGGTGATGAACGATGACATAAGATTCTGAAAAATATGATGGTGGTGTGGGGTGAATCTGCAAGATTAACACTCCAACAACCAAGTCAACGCAGTATTTAAAATGAATATAGTGAAAAAACATAGATTAGAAAAATGTATCTTGAATCTCACGTATGTTGATTTTATACATTGGATACTTTAGATTAGATTTGCACCTAGTTGGACCTTTTCACTTATACCTTTCACCATTTTTTTCTAGACGCATGGCTTTAGTTTACCAGCTTTGAGAATTGTGCTTCCTACCAGTGTGTTTGAGTGCACTTGAGTTAATGTATATTTCATAGGTGAAATTCAATTTTTTTTCTGTAACCTCTCGTTCCCACTGATCTGGTCCATTGATTGTCATCTTCTATATATAAGGGTTTTGGAGTTTTGGGAGATCTTTTCGCTATCCTTGAGAACCATTTTCCACTTGAGAACATATTTCCTTCTTTTTCTCCTAGAGTATTTCTCAGAGTGCTTTCTATTCCTTGAACAAAGTTTCTAATTTCCGATTTGAATTTCACCTTCCCTGTCAGATTCTACTTTTCCTAAGTACCCTTCTTGCCTTAAACTTTTCCATATCTTTAACATTTTCTTTATTAAGGCCAATACGAACAATATTTCTATAAGTTTATCTAGCGATTTTGGGAGTAGTAGTACTTATCCTTTAGTTAGGTCGACGTTTATTCTAGTCCAAATCCTTCCACTTAATCACTGATCAATCAACCCATGAGGTTATATCTGTATCTGATGATTTTGATTCAGAGAGGCTTTCTAAAGGTTCTCCAAATGCAGGGGCTTCTTCGTATGTTTCTTCTTTAGACGCTCTTTTCTCTAACGAAAATGCAGAAGACGATCTCATAGCTAGTTTTGTGCCCGTTTTCTCCAGAGTTGTAAGAACTTCGACTTCACATGCTTTGTTGACTCCAAAGATGGATGTGGACACTAAGTATATGGGGGATGCCAAATATTATTTTATGACTTATAGAAAATCCTATGAATAAGATCTAAGTGATCCCAACATCAGAGATCATCTGGTACGAGGATCCCTATCGGATGGTGTTAGATGGCTCAACTCCTTCGAGATCTTCAAGGTTGGCGAGATATCCATGAAAATAGATTAGTTAGTAGAGTCGGATGATGAAAACAAATACAATTGGGTGAATTCATAGATATTAGTAACTCCTTCCGTTTTAAGTGACTAGGCTGTTATAAGTGCGGTTAAAATCATGGTCGATCGTCCCTCTGATCGATCAGTCCTACCGGTGGATTTAGAAAAAAGATATGTATCACCTTTGAAGGGTGTTCTATTCCTTTTTAAGAGTGACTGTTCACAAGGATAAACTTGCAGTTATCGCTGTCTGAATTTGAGGTGGAAGTGTTGAAGAACTTGCAGCTTTCCCCTTCCTAGCTCCAACCTGCTTCTTGTGCTTTCATAAAGATATTTCAATTTTGGCTCGAGCGTAAGTCTTGGAAACCTTTCTATCGGCTTTTATTTAACCTATTCATAGTAATCCATATCTCTAGGTACAATATCTGGGATCAAGGATTCATTGAGCTACACTAGCATGTTCCCTTGTCCGACCTTTTTTTTATATCAAACTGGGCATATTCTTGGGGCACTTTGTGCTGGTGAGGCCCTGCACTCAGGAAGATCACTTTGCATTCTGTTTCGGCCCTATCGAGTCTTCACGCCCTTGTAAGGGTAAGTTTAAAAAATAATGGGCTTGACCCCACTTCCATCCTGAACCTTACTCATATGGTGTCTCGTTGAACTCTATAACTTCCAAAGAGATCATGATGAAGAGGGATTTGGAGTATCTCTATTGGGGACTCGGGTATGAGAAGGTGTTTAGACCTACCAAAATGTCGTCATCCAATCAGAAGAAACAATTCATTGATACTCGTGCCATTGTGAGTGTGGTCAGTCGTTCGGAGAGAAGAGAAATATTTGGCAAGGATAGAGTCTTACCTGTTTTTTTTTTGTTGTGTTTTTAACATTCGTGTTTGTACTTGCAGAAAAAAATGGATTCTTAGCATAAGATCTTTGCTATTATCGTAGAGCGAGTTTCTTGCATGGTTAAATTGCTCCTCCGACCTAGGTT